TTTGCAAAAATGCATGTTGACATTTACCAATGCATGCTGGTATGGGTGGAGTAGCTTTCTTACCATGTAAACATTGTGGGTTTAATGAATGTTTCCCTCTGCTTCATGTCAGTACCACGGGGCAAGGCATTTATGGGTGATTTAGTGAATGCATTAGGTTAAATGGGGCTCTAGCGATTGAATTATTATTATTCAGTCCATTTCCAATTCAAAAATCTAAATGGGGTAATAGTAGCCAACACATTTGTGGCATCAAGCATCATGTACCCATTCTTCATTTACAACTATCACTTAAAACACAGGTGTCAAACTGGTTCCAGAAAGGGCCGTGTGGCTGCAGGTTTTCTTTCCAACCAAGCAATAGCACACTAGACTCCAGTCATCTCATCAAGTCATCATGTTCAGATTGGACTCACTTGATGAGATGACTGGAGTCTAGTGTGCTATTGCTTGGTAGGAAAGGAAACCTGCAGCCACACGGCCCTTTCTGGAACCAGTTTGACACCCCTGACTTACAGTAAAACAAGAATAAAAACTAAGAGTTAAAAATAATTTTCGTAATCCCTACACGTCAAAGAATGTTTATTCAACCCATTACACCTATATCACCTAAAAGAAAATATTATTTTCTGTACAAAATCTCAAAGATACATATGTATTATTCATTTTATTGTTAATTAACATTTGTTTTATAGTGATTCACATAGGTGGTAGCAAACATTCAATCTGAAATTAGTTCTTTTCAATTCAGAATTGGCTGGTGAAAGCTTTGCGGAAATTTTAGACTGGAATAAGATCATAAAAATGCTTCTCTGAAAACAAAGGATCTTTCTGTGGAAATATTTAACAGCGTTTTCAGAACTGAGTGAATAGTTTTTTGGTACAGAAGGTTTCTCTCCCCAAGAACTTAAGACTATTGATTGATAGATGATTGTATAAAATTAGCGAATTCAGATGAGCTAATATTTTGAATGCCGTATTTTCCTTTATGAATATTTTCCCTTTTCCTTTGCTATGATCCATTTCAGGATCACAGCAGCTGATTACAGAATTACAGGTCTACTGTTATTGCCAACAATAAATCCATTTAAAAACACACCCGCTAAAGATCCTGACAGATATTCTACTGTTAAAAGATAAGAACTCAACATGGGAATATCGCACGAGGGAAGCAGCAAAAAGAGTCCAACACTTATGGTGGCTCTACTATACAGCATCAATCACACTCTCTACTGTTCATCCTTTCTCTGCTTATACATTTTCCTAATTTCCTTTCTAATCTTCTCCGCTTGTCCAAAACAGTACATTAAATTCCCTGATTCAGGTTTGGAAGCCCACATAAAAGTTTGCATGGACCACCTAAGATGATTCACTAATGTCCTTCCTTTAACTAAGTGTAGGGCAACCGGTATCAGGTCGGGTTTGGTCGCACCGTCCCTGGCTGGCTCCGTCCCCCGGCTGGCTCCATGCCCCCGTCCGCCGGGGTTCTCTGACCAGCCCCAGAGCTGACGGCTCAGTTCAAATGCCCAAACCCAAATCTGGTCACCCTAACTAAGTGTATTTGATGCTGGAATGAGTGGGGTTCAACTCCTGCAAATAACATTAGCAGTTAGCCTCATCTTGTTTTGATGAGACCATAAACGCTGGCTAAAATTGAAAACAGAGTGTCGTTAATGAGAGAAAGCCATAACTGCTAATACATATAGTATTGGTGTGTCAATAAAAGATTTGCTGAAGTATATACTTCATGTATAAATTAGGTTAATATTAAGATGAGAAAAATAAAGTTTAGAAATGATCTGATTTGGGTACCATGAACAACAGCTAAATAAGGATTCCTTTTGTATTACGTCAGTAGACCTTCCACTTATCTGTGATTCCATGTGGCTAATTAAAAGGCAACTTTTTTCCAAGTGAGATTCTTTGCAAAAGTTGATTTGCAGGAAAACAATTAACTTTATCTTTAATACATAAAAAAAGTGGAAATGAATCAGATAGGTTAGTTTTACAAATTTGCTATCAAACTTTAAAATATAAAAGTGCTTATTTTAATTATCAAAATAACAGCTCCAGAGTTTCATAGTAATGAAGCCAATGCGGAAACTGAATTACCTGCCCTCATCTTAAGAGGCTTACCTGTCTTCAAAGTAAACCAATCAGCTTTGAACCACACCCCCACGAAGCCCAATCATCATCCAGAATTCATTTTAAAAGGTCTTCAAACCCACTGCTCAGCCTCAAACACAGCCAAGCACAAGAAGTGGTTGCGCTACGTCTGTTTTCGACTCAGATGACCCTGATTCAACCCACTTCCATCCCCTTCTCCAGTAGCTAAGCTCCATCTGGCTTTATCAGATGGACTGGTTCATACAAACCTGTGTTTATGCAAGCTGGATATATAGTATATCTTCTGGGTCTCGAGTGAAGTACTAGTACTAGTTTGTTTCTTTGTTTATAAGCACCATGAAAATCTTTATTTCTATATTTCAGTCATGACAAACTCCAGAGGAATTAAGGTAATTTAATTTTTACAAACATTTCTAAATTAAATAAAAGTATTTCTGTGGCAGACATGTCAGTGGCCATTTATGTACCATATATGAAATTTCTTTTATAAGAAAAAATTCCTTTGAAACAAACATTTTGCAATCTAGTCACCATCTTTTTTCTAAAATTTCCGAACATGGACTCCAGCAGGAAATTGCTAAGTATTTCACCATGTAGTTGTAACCTCAGTATGCTGGATATAAAAGCATTTTTGAGATTGCCCCCCCAGACCAGGGTGAAGTTACAGCTTGTATACCAGAGTGCTTAAAGTCAAAGAAAAAAGGGAAAAAATTAAAATAGACCCATAAATTGTCTGTAGTTTGTGACACTTTCAGTTTTTTCTCAGATGATTTTTATACTTTTGCTGTAAAATGTTTTGAGGACATACAGTATTTTCCCAAAAAGAAATCAGGGCAAAAAAAATCTCTTGGCAGACTGGGCACAAATTCCACCCAGAATGCAACATTAAATGAGTTTATCAGAAGCTTAGTTCAAACATCAAAATCAAGCTACTTTAATGATCTGCATTCAAAAACATTTACTCATAACATTTATTTGATAAAGCCTTTAAATCCCGCTTTAGTTTTTCATATAAATGCAGATAGAGATGGAAACAACACCGATCACGCATCATCAGAAGCACAATACTGCAGTTTGATGTGCAGGATGTAAATGTCTTTACTAGAACCCATGCATGTAGATGTCTATAGAGCTGTAAAATGTCTAGAATATGTGCCCTGCACCTGCATTCAATCCAGCTAAGTCAATACTATGCAGAACAATTTTTCCCTGCAATTAAGGGGCTGAAAGAAAGAGATGGGCACCGACCAAGAACAAAATATTGATTGGAACCAGTTATAACATTTCAGTTCTCTGGGAAATATTCATATTTTTACATTTTCGACTCCTAGTTTCAATTCCCAGTCAGCTGACTGGAAGAAGACACAGAATACAAACAAAGAAGAATTTGAAGTATATTTACAACCATCTGTTTGAGTGGCAGCATTGGAAACTTCTGCTTAACATTAATTCCAGACATGACCAGTCAGCTATGTACCAGATAGGGATTTTATCAAGGAAAGGAGAGCTGACAACCAACGTGATTGAACACCCCAGGAGTCAGAATGAGATTGACCCATCTTTGACCCACTCCGATGGTGTTGAGTTAAGGTAAGTTCCCTTAGGGACTTCCCCTGGACAAGGAGCCCACCTTCTGCAGGAAGAAGAGATCTGTTCTAACAGTTTTCTTAATTTTTCATCATTTTAACAGATACCTGTCTCATTTCCTACACAGTCTACACATCACAATCACTAAAACCTAGAGCTATCAGATTTATAAATAATTCTAAGGGTAAGTTTATTCATTATTCAGGTCATTTCTTTTAGTATCTGTTTCTGAAATGTTTTTAGTGAATGACAGCATGCTCGTAATTTCTTTGTCCACAAAGTTAAACATAACTACTTCCACATCTAGTTGAGTGGATGGGGTAGGGTGGAAAACGCAGGGGAAATCTTGAAATTCCTTCCTCGGCAAAACACCTTTTGAGCTGCTTTTCCCTTCGGCTCTGACTCTCAGCCTAACACTGCACCACAGTCAGAGCCAGGTCAGTAAAATAATACAAATAGTCTAATGTGGTTTAAGAACCTGCAGGATTAGACACTGGATATGATAAATGTATTTTATTTAGGTTTATTTTATTTATTTAAGTATTAACTCCACACAAATATGGAACCCTGTGGAAAGAAAATGCATGATTTTACATTAGACTTAATAGGTTTGATATTTATTGGATGAAAATAAACCTATGGCAATTTATTATAAAGTTTTTATAAAAGATAAAAAAATTAAATAATTAAAATTCATCAAATACTTTAGACTATTCCATCTGGACGGAAGTTAGATGATGTAAAACATGTTAGCTTTTATGATGCATCCTCTAAAAGGAATCCAAATCAAAACAAAGATGGCCACTTTGGTTTGAATCCAAGCAATGCCAAATCTTACCAAACGATCCATTAAATAGTTAAATAGTTAAAAAGCCTTTATTGTCATCATATTCTACAACGGATACAATGAGATTTCTGGGACTTCCATTTCAGCTACCGTGAAATAAAAAAATAAAAAATATAAATATATTCAAAGGAAAGGAAATGTAAACAGTACTGGCACAGATTGTGGGGGGGGGGAATAGTGTAAAACAGGTGTAAAGTGACCGACAGTGCAGGTCGGAGTTGAGGGTGGCAATGGCTTGGGGAATAATGCAAAACAGGTGAAAAAGTGCACCACATAACCAGAGCCATGGAGAGCTAAAACGTACGGACTACGAATGAATACTCAGCTTCATCTTCATCATTTGCCTTCCTGCTGTGCTGTTCTTTCTTCATGACTTTGAAAATGACTAGCAGGCCAGCTGACTTTGAACTATTCCTTTTTGGGAGGATAAGGCTCTTACCTTTTAGGTGGTAGTCCACAAAATTGTCAGAGGAGGCCTGCAAAAGTGCCGACCTGCGGTACACCACATGGACCCTGCCTTTATCCTCCATCTCCTGAGTGCCCTTCTCCAGCGGCTCAATGAAGTACTCGTCTGAGTCGGTGCGGATCATTCCAGCCTAGAACAGAACACCAGGTAGATTTCAGTATGTGCACTGTAAAATATTGAAACCTCAATAAGCATTTTTTTTCTTAAAATAAGCCTAGTTTCTTCTACATGAAAGTGTTCTTTTCTTAAATTCAGGAGGTATGTGAGACAGTTTGCCAATGAAACATGACAAAATATGATTAAAATAATAATAAAAACAACTGCATTGTCTTATTTCAAGTGCATATTATCCAATTATCTTATTTTGAGAGTTAAAAAAAACAACTCATTCCTTTGGCAAATAATCTTATTAACCTGCTCAAATTAAAGCTAAATACACTTAATTTGAGACATTCATACTAATTTCTAGATGATTTTTGCAGTGTAGAACCCCAACACATGCTTGTTAGAGAAAATACAACGGATCTTTATTTGTCTATATAAAGTTAGGCTTCAAGATCTTGTAACTGGTTATGGTAAAGAAATTATTTATATCGAAAGATCATGTTTTTCTTCTTCACATATGTTATTGTAAAAACTAAATGGATGTCTTCTTTCTATATTGTTAGATATGTATCCATACAACACAACACAACACAATGACTTCCCCAGATGAATATTAATAAAATATAGGAAATCAAGAAGAACAGATGTGCTAATGCAGTATTTAGTAATTTATCCAGAGCAAAAAATATGCACATCCACCACAGCAATGTCTCCGTCACTCTGTTTACCATTGATTTCGTGTTTCTTTTAGCATCTTTCCATCTGTCTGCCATTATCACCTTGTTACCCAAAAACCGCTGGTGGCGATCAGAAATCCCAAGCATCATTAGAGGTGGACTGGAGCAAACATGCCCGATGATGGCTACCTGCAGCCTGCAGATTTCCTGCAATAAGAATCCAGCCATGCTTCTTATTTAGAGCAGAAATATAAGGTTCCCCCTTCTAAGTGAAGTAGTGTAAAAACTGGATGTCTGACCCATTAAATCTAAACGATGTGCTGAAATCGGTGTCCTGTCCGTAAACTATCCTCAAACATCAAAAGATGCTTTTTTCTGCTTTTATTTAATTTAGAAAAAGGCCCTTTAAGTGCGTTTAGAGCAAAATAATGATGATAATAATACAGAACCCCTGGTTATGATGTGTAAATCTCCTTCATAATATTTATGCTATATTGTTGTAATGTAATCTGAAATGAAATCATCAAAATCCAACATTACATTCAAGCATTTGCTCAGTGGAGGGAAAACATAATCCCATACGACCCAATAATTGTTTTCCACAAAGTCACTGTAGCCAAACTTTTTAAGCAGCCCCACTGTTATTACTTTGAGTCAGTAATCCCCTTTTGATACGACGACTTCGCTCAGAGCTCTCTAGTAATATTTCACAAGGTTAGGAAACACAAAGATACTTTGAGAAAAGATTCTCCAGAACAGTGGCTCTCAAAAATTTAAGAAAAAAAATCACCTTGAAGAAAAGTGAAATAATTTGTTTTAAGATTTAAAAGCAGCAAGTATGCCTGAATTTACAATAGGAGTTTGTTCCATATTTTAGAGAGCAAAGTAATTGAAAGTGGATGGGACTTTTATTCTGCAGCTGAGTTTCTCATAAAATTGAATATTCAGAGGTAAAAAGAATGCTGTTTTTTTTTTTTTTTTTTGTCACCAAATTTTGTCTGGAGTGTCTTACAAACTTAACAGTGCCTCGGAAAATTGTAGGGAAAATATTTAAATAAAATTTAGATTTTTAATCTTTTTACTTGTAGACACTGAAAATTTGGTCTTGTTTTAGTATTTGAAATGGTGATGAAAAATTGAGGGGATTTAAACTGAATATTGAGGCTCATCCTCTAACTGCAAAGGATTTCCCCACCATGGGTTACAGGGTAGTGATATCTAAAGGACACTGAAAAACATTCAAAAAGTAGATTTTTCTTTACTTACTATATAGCATTGTTTATCCCCTTTCAAACCCAGACAGACAGGATCTAATTTTGTATACACTGTAAACCCAGATTTAGTTTGTACTCAAAGAAACTGAGTTAATAGTACTTAGAGAGGTCTAATTTACTGACATTACTTGTTTATTTCAATTAAGCTGAACGTTTTTATGTCCTTTTTCAGTGTAATTATATTTTTAAGTACAATCTACTTATCCGGGTTTACAGTGTAGGGAGACGAAGCATCGAAAACCGAGCCCTGGGTTAAAACACTTGTTCTCAAGTTATTTTTTAGGATAAGAAAAAAAAAAATAAATAAATAACCCTACCTTAACAGAATATACGTAATGAGTAGAGTATAATTTTACATCACAAAAGCTTTCTTTTCAATAGGATATTTTTTTTATCAAACTTCTTATTTAATGCTTTCCCTCTGGAAGTGTTTTGTTATTCTTTTCTTGTTTTTCTTATAAAAACGCCATGGAACAGAGAATTAACAGTACCTACACAAAAGGAATTTAAATTACATTTTGAAAGAAATTTCTATAGCTTTGTCATCAAATATCAGTATATGCAGTAGCAGCCATTCAAAAGGCCCTTTCCAGTCAAACACCAGCCGAATGACCCCCTCCTTCTCCTGGGCATGCATGTTATTTTACATGCATGCCCAGGACTGACTCCACCCTTTCACTGAGTTACAGGGTCTGACCAGGTGATAATGCTTCTCTTTAGATCTTAATGTTCACAAATCATGACAGAAAGAATATTTTAAGTACAAACACTGATGTTTGAAAAAGGAACCGTAGGGGACCACCCAAGGGCCCATCAAGGAAAGTGAGGAAATTTTGAATGGCTACTACTGTATGACTCAGCCTTAAAAACTTTAAACATCAGTTGAGCTGGGATTTTATGCAGTTTCCATTTCTAAAATATTTTTCAGATAAATCTTTTCAACTTCATTTTTTTCCTTTTATTTTATTTATTAATCCAAATCTTCAAATATATCCATAATAAATATACATAACTTTAGATCTGAAATCTTACTAAAGGTATTAGATCTACCTTTAAATTGAAATTTAGGAAATAATGTATTGTTACCACAAAACTTGGTGACCCACAAATGCAACCCTTTGTTGGAGGTTTATAAATACTACACAAGAACAGAGAAATAGTTCTTCCCTAGTTGGCAAGAAGAAGAGAAAAGGTTATCTTGCCTTTGAGTGCTTCTACTTAGTAAGAAGCTCAGCTGTCAAATTCATGGAACTCATAAATAACTATGGATATCTGTGCCTGAGGTAATGGTGGAAGTTAAAACCTGAAAATGAAAAGGGAAAACTCATTCCTCTTCCCACTAAACAAAGCTCATTCAAGCTCTGACCAATTGCACAACTTTATAAGGACCGGCTTTTTGCTATTTCAGATTTTTTTAATTAATGGCTTCAAATAACATTTTGGTTTATCATAACTTAGTGTAGGATTTCTTTTGGCATATTCTCTAAGGAATGCTCTCCTGTTTAGGTTCAGAGGGTGCAGCTCCTCGATTGCATCTTTTGGCTCTATGCTTATTCCATCCGCTCTGTGACACTTGCCCCGTTACTGAAATCGAATCCATATAAGCAACTCACAAAGTGAATGATTTCCATCTCCCTCAGTCCCCAATCTGCTAACTGTTACCCTCTATTCACCAGAGCTGCTAGCTGGGTCAGTTAAAGTTTGTATTTACTCTGACATAGAACTTGGAAACTTTGTGACACAAGCTCCCAGGTTACATTAATAAACAAAATAATTAAATATGTATGTGTACCACATATAGACTGACAGTCTGCCAGTTAATAAACCGGCAGCCATCCTATTTCTCAACAATACAACATCGTGATGCCACATTTCAACATTATGATGTGGTTCTAAATCCTGCAGGACTATGTGTCCGGAGACATAAATAGGTATACATGCCAAAATATACTCCCGACATGATGCTTTCACTTATTGCATATGAAAATGGATCATTTTAGCTGTCCGTCTGTCACTTGGCATCATTCCTTATGAGAAAAACTCCTTGGAGCTCAAATTAAATAAATCTGGGCCTGATTTCCCTGCAATTAATCACACTTAGAACTTACCGCCAAATAATGGAGTTGACATGCATCATTTAACTGCCGGTGGCAATTCCACATGTTGTTTTTTTCCCATCACAACTAATCATCAGAATTATGGAAAAAAAAAAAAACAATCCAATGATTACATTAATGAGCAGCATGAATGTTCTCTAAAAAAAACCTTAAAACTTGGAGTAATTTAATCAGGCCTTTCTCTTTAGTGAAAGTGCAGAGTATATATAAAATAAAAACATATTTCCTTAAAAAGATGTTTAATACTTTTTTTCGTATACTCGGATATAAATGCCTTTTTTGGTAGCTAAAGGGAACCCAAGTCATACTCCTAGTTCTAGTTTAAAAGAAATCAGTGCTTGATGTAAGCTTGTTTCAGAGTGGAGAGATGAAACGATCTCCCTCCAATCAGAGAAGTCTGGACAGATTTAAGCAAAACTGGAGCTTTTTAAATTGCCCTTTAGGTGTAAAATATTGTTGCCTTCCCTTTGGGGAATGGCAGCCTAGTGGTCAGTGCATTGCACTTGGAATCCTGAGGTGTTGAGTTCAAACCCCACTCTCACGGACTGCCACTCTGGCCCCGAGCAAGACCCACACTGCTCCCCAGGCGCAGCACAATGGCAGCCCACTGCTTCCCAAGGGGCCGGGTTAAATGCAGAGAGTTCATTGTGTTGCTCTGTACTTGTGACAGTGTAATCACAGTAAAATGCTTGACATTTTTGCTTCACAACTGCCCTTCATTCTTGAGACTGTACATGTAGCTAAATTATCGGGACAGTCATCTTCCATTTACATGCTACGGCTTTGTTACCTGACAGGTTAAGAGGAAGTATTCATTACAAGAAATTAAACTGATAGTGCCTTAAAAAAAACATATTTAATTAACTTTTCCATGTATTGAATTGAAGAGACTTGCTGAACTGCGAACTATACAATATATGCACACGAAATTGACATATAACCTTGACTTAACTGTAC